TTCTGCACAAATCCTGCTAATAGATTATTGGCTACCTTTAATGTAGCACAAACCCCGGCATAAAATTTCCAACACTGGTCACGGGAGGAGTGCGAATAACAATTCCCATTATTAATTATTATTGTTATGTTTCCAATGACGCGAAGATTTAAATCCACAATCACATGATGTACGATATACATTATTTCATTCTACAGTGCGGATCATCTACAGTCAAACCTCGATAGACCGAACTACCGTAAACCGATTTTCGCTTTATAACGATACAAATAAAAATTATTTCGTTAAGCCGAATTTTATTATAATTTCTACTATGATAAAATTCGGTTTAAAATGGTCGATCACCCAACAATCAAGTTTAGTCAAGTTTAGTCAAGATGATTATTACTAAATTAGGCTTTAACATTTACGCTGCCAGCCCTGTTTGTATCGTAAATCGAATTTTGATAAGCCGATCCTATTTTTGTGATTTCCCAAAAGTTCGGCTTATCGATGTTTGACTGTATTGATATGTAAAGGCACTAGTTTAGGTGCTTAAATTCCTAATTTCTGTGGGCAAAACTATTTCGGATACCATCATTAACAAAGAAAAGAAAGAATATGATCCAATGAAAGAATAATTTGAATAAAAAAAGTTAAATTTGATTATGTCACGTGAACAAAGTGGGAAACATAAATTTGCTCAGAAAACCTTTTAGACTTTCTAGCTGATAATATAATAGACAAAAATTTTTTTTATTTAAAAATTATACATATTTAAATGCAAGAGATAAGTTTGAAAATAAATGAACCATTACAATAGATCCATTTTATCAAATTCCTCCCTAATTGATTTTAATTCATCATGCTGTTCATTTGAGTATTTATGGTGTTTAAGGTTATTGATTACCTCATCATCAAATGAATTATTCCATAATCCAATAATATTACAAATTTCTTCAGCAGTTGGACGTTTATCTGGATTAGCATCCATGCATCTGTAAGCTAGTTCAATATAGAATTTTGGTGTGTTGTCTGAAAGTTCAGGTCTTAAGCCTTGATGTATTTTTTCTGCAAGATCTACATCATGTGCCAAATTATTATGTGGTGGATGACCAGTTGATATTTCAGACATCAGAATTCCAAAACTATATATATCTGATGCCATTGTATATAGCTTCCTCAGCAGAAGTTCTGGTGCAATATATGGTAGTACTCCATATAACTCGTCTGATGCAGATGTTTGACTAGCTGGGCATGATAATCCTAAACTTGTAAGATATGAACCCATACTTCCTTGAAGAATATTGCTACTATGAAGATCACGATGAACAATTCCTTTTTCATGCATATCTTTTAAACCTTTAATAATTCCTTGAAGGATTGCAATTTTATGATTCCATTTTAAATTTTTAAATTCTTTTGTTAAATAATTATGAAGACTTCCATTTTCCATATGTTCCATTACAAATATATATTCTTTTGTAATTGGATCTTGTGTTAATCCATAAAGATTAATTACATCACTTTTATAATGAAGCTTCATATAATTTTTGAACTAAAATAACAAATAAAATATTTAATTACAATAATAATAATAATAAAAATTAATATTAATAAAATAATTTACCTCATTAAGAAATTCATCAGAAACATTCTGTGAATCATATAATTGTTTTAATGCCACAGTCATATCTTTATTATATCTTTTTCTGTCACTTATACCTTTATCACCATTTAACCAAATAGCTTTGTATATGGTTGCAAAACCACCTTCACCTATCTTGACAATATCTGCTAAATCATTATATGGAATCCATTGAAAATAATCATTATTATAAGCTCTTGCTTTAAGTTGTGTGCTTTTAATCAACTCATCTAGTGTTTCATTACCACTAGTCCATCCTTCAGTTAATAGCTTTGGATCACATGATTGGCACCATGAATAATCAGTATTATATCTATCACAAATTGGACACTCTCCATATCTTTTTTTTCTTTCTTTTGAATATTCATCTTTTTTTTTGGCCTTATCCATTTTTTAAAGAAAAAGTTTTTTTAAATTTACAAACAAATCCCGGCTTTTAAATAGTTAATTTGACTGAATTAAACCATAAATTAAAAATATATATTTCATAATCTTTGATGCGAAAACATTCAACTAATGAAACAAATTATTTTTGTATAACGAACTATCAAGGTTTTGTGGAACCAAATACAATGAAAACGAGAATGTAATTAATTAATTGTAACGTTACAAGCATTAGAAGAAAATATCAAAAAGTCTCAGATTACACACAGTGGCTTTGGTTGATGTAAGTTATTGAGATAATTTAAAATATTTTTGATCTTTAATGATGAAATAAAATTTTTGATTACTTCCTCAAAAAAATAACAAACATTTCTTTAAATGCAACAAAGTCTAATAACATCTTTGGAGACCAGATAATCTCACCTTACATCCACCTAAAGGGATACAGTTTAATGGTGAAAAGATTAAAGTGAATAATAATAATATAGGTCTGAATATGGATGTCAGAAATTTTGTCAAGAAATACAAATTGATGTTACATGGTACTCCCTTTAGAGCAAGAATATCTTAAGTTTTGTTCCGTGAAGTTTTTTTAGTAAATTACATGTGTTAATTGTAGATACACATATGGACTGAAACCAAAATTGAAAAAGGGATTTCAAAAACTAAAAGCATCCAGATGATTCAAACATGTAAAAAAGAACTGATTATTATATTTAAACCAATTTATTTATTAATTAATGAACTAATTATTATAAAATTTCACTTTTTCTTGATAATAGGGATTTATCTAAATAGTTAAATTCATTTGTTTTGAATAATTTACCATTATGATTGCTGATTGATAAAATTCAAAAGTGTGCTGGTGTAAGCAATGTTAGGGTGTTGTTTGAATTGTTGAAGGCCACATTCTATCTTTATCCATCTTGTTGAACTGCAAAAATTATTTTGCGGCATCATGTTGGTATGCTTACATATAATAAAAATAATAGATATCCATTGTATTTATTGTTGGATCCAAATAATTTGCACCTTTCTTACTTGAGTAGGATAGGCGAGTAATTGATGTTGCTTTAACAATTTAAAATAAAACCTTTGGGAAACTACTTGGTAATTTTGCAATGTCATATAATATTTTCTGTGATCCTTTTCTTTCTGATGAGAGAATTTTGGTAATTAATTAAAATTATTGAATAATCATATTTACACAAGTAAAATTTGATGATAGACTTTAATTGGGTGACCATTAAACATATGCTTCTGATGACTAGTAGCTTTTACATTTCCATTCAATCTTTTTTTTTAATACTCTTGTCATTGAATATTTTGCAGGGTCATTGCATTTTTTTTATATGAATCAGAAAATACATATAAATAGAGAATAAATCAAATTTTTTGAAAAACAGATATTTTAATTAAATATTAACAGCAATTAAAGCTCTAGTTGTACTCCAATCCTCATTACTAACTTCTCTAACTTCTTTTTTAATGGTATCCAATTCCAATAATTGACTGCCAGAAACCAAATAAACCTTTGTATCAATCACAGCAGTAGATTTAACATCAAACCAGGTTCTTTTTGAATTATCATCATTACTTTCCTTTCCTTTATCAAAAAACAACCTATATTCTCCATTATCCAAATCAACTTCCCACAACGATTCACAAAATGCCAACAACATGCCTTTTACATTAACCAATGCTTTACAATTTGACCAATTATCGTCATTGCCTACTTTTTCAGGTTTATAATTTCTTGAGGTATTAATGCACCATAAATTATTTGAAGTAGTACAATAGATTTTATCGTCAATGCTGGTAGCAGCATTTACTCCTGACCAATCATCACTGGATCCATCAGAAAAATCTATATAACTGCCAACCTTTTGATCAATCAACCAAAGTTTCCCGCAAAATGAAAATAATTTATTTTCTAAAGTTTCTAAATATTTAACTTGAATTAATGCTTTGCATTCATTCCAACCACCATCACCAACTCTTCTTACGGCACCATCGTCATTTAATGAGATTTCCCAAAGATTGCCATACGATGTAGTTAAATAAATTTTATTTGTGAGAGTTATCATTGCAGCAGCAGTTGTTGAAGACCAGTTTTCTGTGTTGTAAATTTCGTAAAAGCCCGATTCTGGATTAACAGTATATATTTTATTTGCAATGGCCAATAATTTTTTCTTAATAATCATTGTTAATTGGTGATTCGTGAGAGATGTCTTGTCGCCTATCTTTTTTTATTAATATTAAATGTAAAAGTTTGGTTATACAGTACATCATATAGAAATGTATGGCAAAGTTTTATTTGTCATTCACATGACTTGTAATAAATAATTGCCTTATTATTATTGTGCGCATGTAAAAATTTGGTTTTTTTTTTGTCATTTTTTATGATTTAGCGAAAGTTTGGCATATTAAAAATTCTAGGCGAGAGCTAGCAAGCTCAGAAAGACAATGCAGATATTTACATCATTCGCATCTCCGTGGAATTTCTTCTTCATGCAAAATTTCTCTTTCAGCTGCAACAAGAAGACACCTGCCATATCGGGAATTAGGATGAGTTAACTAAGGATCAATCAATGACACACTAAAAAGTTACAAATCCTGCATTCACCTTATTTCTATTCATGCCAAACAATTTTAGTTAAGACTCAAGCCAGTTGTTCCATTTGTATAAATACTTTTTAAAAAGCAATCATGTGAAATTGAACTAACTATAACTTTTCGCATTTTATTGCTATTGACAAATTTAAGTCCGAAATTTTATATGGACATTTATGCCAATAAAGAGAGAGCCATCGAGGGATTAAAACCTGATTAATTGCTGAATAAATGGGCAATTTATTGTAGAATACGGTGGATAATATAATTGGTTATTCCACGTTTTATTTTTAAAATATATTTTAATGACTTGACTCGAGTCATGGAATGAGTTGAATCTAACCCAGTTTTTTGGATTCGAATCATAATTCAAATGAAACGAAACAAATTGTTTTAAAACCCGACTCATTTGGAGCCTTAGTTGTAATAATAATGTTGGTTTTGAGAACAAATGTTTTGATATTGAACAAACTATGGTAATAATGAAAATTAAAGAAACAAATAATCCAGTTAGTTGGAATATAAAAAGGAAATGCTCTAGATATAAAAGTTTTATTTCAAAATCAAATAAATAAAATTAAAGTAAAATTAAAATCTTAAATATGCAAATACAGTATAAGTACAGTTCTATAGATGATATTAATATAGTTTTTCATTAGCAATTTTGATGAATTAAGTCTTTATAACTTTTCTTGCCTTACAGCCTTCACTCCATCGATGCTTTCAAAACACCTATCAACGAAACACCATATATGTATTAAATAACATAATTCTAAATGACCCTTTTCAAGATTTTTAGCCTCATATTCTCTCAACCTATAAAATAAAGACAGGATGCTTAAAGATAAATTTGAATGCCTAATTTACCTTTAATGTCAAATAACACTTACAGGTTATAGATCAGTGTTGTGACCCGAAACAGAACCACCCAAAACTAGTTTAGGTTAGTAGTTTATGTTTAGTTTTAGTTTTCTGCTTAGTGTAAGTTCATTTTCCGAAATGTTTCGGGAAGCCAAAAGAGTTTCTGTTCACAACACTGTTATAGATAGAATTCCGGACCCAGTCAAAATCAAAATGAGCATCACAATTAAAGGGCATATCCCAACTTTGAGTTTCAAACACAGCTTTTCTAAGATCTCGAGTATTATACTATTTCAAAACATGAAAAATCTCAATTGAGTGGAAATGTTATAAAAAAGCTTACTTTACGAAAACTGTTTAAATCAGAGTTGGCAAATTGACTGGTCCATTGTCATTAATAAAATACTAAATATGGTTAAAATGTTCACCAATGGAACCAATGGACCATCAATGGACCACATATTTGCCAACCCTGGTTTAAATATCTCAACAAATCTGTCGGCATATCTTATATTTATATTCTTTGGTTTCATTCGGTTCTTCTGAGGTGAAAACATTCTCAACGATGTAATTACGATCATTAGGATCAACAACAAATGAATGGCATAGACTTTGGTAAATCAGAAAATTTCTGATGTTAAATATTAGAAACAAGTAAGTGTGCACCATTTAAAATGTGGTGAATACTTACTGTTCGTATTTATGCCTCATCCCAAATTCATAGAGGCTGTCTTCAACTATCTTTCCAGTAGTTAATTTCCATTTCCTATCATTATCCATTTTTTGGTATCTTTCTGTAAACTTATCATAATCTGAATTCTGCATTTCTTCCACAACTTCATCATCATTGGCATTATCATCTTGTTTTCTCAACATTTTCTTGATTAGACTTCTCAGCTGTGGATATATATTCCTAAATGGAAATAACAAATTATTCTACAGAAACTGAACCTCATTGATATTTAATTAGAAGATCAATGAATAGAAACTATATTTATAAACCTTATGCACAGATAATAGCTTATCACTTGCAATGAAATGTTGTTCAACTATATTAGATTCAACTTGTATGAAATGTTGTTTCTGGTTTTTCCAAAAAGAAAAATGTAAATAACTATATCGCCATTTGAAGATGTGAATGGTGCAATGTACTCACCTTTTTTTCAGTTAATAACAATTGATCATTACGAGTTTTGACTTGTTCATTTTGCAATCGGACATTTTCCCAAAAGCTTTTAACAACGTTAGAATTGATGTATGCATCAAATTTGTCAAGTATGTACCGAGCTTTTGGGGTTTGTTTACCACTCTCAGTCACAATAATATTCAAAGTTTCGAATAAAATCCTTTCTGCCTGTTGTTTTCTGATAATGGAAAATTTATTTCCCAAAAACTTAGTAAGACCATATCCTTTTGCTAAAACACCTTCCAATATTTCCGCATAACTTTGCAACTAATGGTAGAATTGAGGCATATATTAATATTAAATTGTTATTCCCAGCTAAGTAGTAGTATCCAAATGCTTGATTAATACAAACCATAATGAAAATATCTGTCAACTTTAAAACCTTATAACTCAAATACAGTAGGTCAAAAAAAAGAATATCAAAAGTCTTAGTATAAAAATTCTCTATAGTAACATTTCTGCCTTTAACATGAAACTTTCTTCCGACAAATAAAGCCACTGCATCAGATCATAAGTAGCATGATAGCAATTGTTTCGTAGCAACACCAGAAGACAAATATGCACTATCCATAATGGAAGACTGGCTTTACATGCCTCGGAAACACAGATTCAAAGAACCAGAACTTTATACATCTTTCGAAAGTCACTGTGAGCTATCCAGTTCAACACACAGATGAAAAAATCACATTACCCCACAGGAAGATGAAACCTCACTTTGCATCCGAAATTTTAATCTTGTTAATTATGACAAAAACATTTCATCAGGTACCATTTAATCATGACATCATCAATGACACATTTTTGACATTTAACTTTAGTAATTGTCAATTAGTCATCATTTATCATTCTATTTTATTTATTTTATTTTATTGGACAAAATCATGTAAAAAGTCATGTTATTTGTAATACTTCAAGAAGTATAAATATGCTTGAAATCCCTTTCAGTGAAAAAACAATTTATTTTTCAATAATGACACTTTCATTAATTGATCCATAAGCCTTTCTGATGATTAATGGTTTGGCCAACATTTAATTATTAGTTAGGAACCCCTTTTATTAGTTTTACTATATTGTTTGTAGGGGCGCCTCAAGTATTGTAGTTGTGCTAGATTTGATGACTCTGCAATAGAGCAGAGTTTCTATTCATAATACAAATTTGTTTAAATTATTCAAATCATTCGTTTGTTTGAATTGTAATTATCCGAATTGTTATCATTCTTTTATTATTTGAATTATTATCATTTGTTTATTATTTGAATTGTGTATCATTCGTTTATTATTTGAATAGTTATCATTCGTTTATTATTTGAATAGTTATCATTCGTTTATTATTTGAATTGTTATCTATCATTCATTTATTATTTGAATTGTTATCTATCATTTGTTTATTATTTGAATTGTTATCATTCGTTTATCATTCGAATTTGTACCATTCGTTTATTGTTATTATTCGAATTGACATCATTCGTTTATTATTATTATCTGAATTGACATCATTTGTTTATCATTCGAATTGACATCATTTGTTTATCATTCGAATTGTTATCATCATTTGTTTATTATTATTATTCAATTGACATCATTCATTTATTATTATTATTTGAATTGACATCATTCATTTATCATTCAAATTGTTATCATCATTCATTTATTATTATTATTCGATTGACATCATTCATTTATTATTATTATTATTCGAATTGACATCATTCGTTTATTGATATTATTTGAATTGACATCATTCATTTATCATTTGAATTGACACCATTCATTTATCATTCGATTGTTATCATCATTCATTTATTGCTTGAATTGTTATCGTCATTTGTTTATCACTCAAATTGACATCATTTGTTTATTATCATTCGGATTGACATCATTTGAATTGTTATCATCATTTGTTTATTATTTGAATTGTTATCATCATTTGTTTATTATTCAAATTGACATTCATTCGTTTATTATTTATTCGAATTGACATCATTCATTTATCATTATTATTCAAATTATCATTATTCGTTTATTATTATTATTCAAATTGGCATCATTCATTTATTGTTATTATTCAAATTATCATCATTCGTTTATCATTTGAATTGACATCATTCATTTATCATTCAAATTGTATCATTCGTTTAGCATTCGAATTGACATCATTCATTTATCATTTGAATTGACATCATCATTTGTTTATTATTTGAATTGTTATCGTCATTTGTTTATCATTTGAATTGACATCATTCATTTATCATTCGAATTGTTATTGTCATTTGTTTATCATTTGAATTGACATCATTTGTTTATCATTTGAATTGTTTATTCAAACCATTTGTTTTACTTGAATTATTCATTTTATTTCATTTATTTGTTTTGCTTGAATTATTCATTTTATTTCTTTTATTCGTTTTATTGTTCGAATTATTGTCATTTGTTTATTCGAACTATATGTTTATTTATTTTATTCAAACTATTCATTTATTCATTTTGTTTGAAATATTTGAATTATTTGTTTTACTCAAATTATTCATTTTATTCAAACTATTCGTTTATTTGTTTTGTTTGAAATATTCAAATTATTCGTTTTATTTGAATTATTCAAATTATTATTATTCGTTTATTTGTTTTATTTAAATTATTGATTGAATTATTTGTTTTATTTGTTTGTCTTTTTTGAATTATCAAATTATCAAATTATTCATTATTCATTTTATTCAAATAAACCTTCAATGTAATTCAAATACTCAAATTCATAACAAGTAAAACAAATAATTCAAATAAACCCTTATTCAAATAGAAACTCTAATCAAGTAGTATAGTTGTATGTAGTGATTTTAATTTAGTTTTCCAAATTTGGTGACTCCAATAATTCTAATTACATGCCTGCAATATTTATTACAGTTTTACAACTTAGGGTGTCAATGCTGAATTGTTGTAGTTCAGGTAAAATTTTAATTTTTTTTTAGATATATTTAATATTAATTAATATATTTTTTGTGATACATATTTGTGGCTGAAAAAAAAAATTTTTTTTTTACAAATATACAAAAACCACAATGGAAAACATTTCGAATGAAAATAAACATCATGACAATACTTCTACTGACAATAATGATGAATATTCTGATGAAAGACATGGAATGTATGGGGAATGTCTAACATGCAATAGATATAATACTAATTATTCATGGTGTCAATCATGTGATCCAAAGTTATTAACTGAAGGATGGACTAGTGGCAATGAAACATTAGATGAGTTGATTAAAAGTACACAACTTAAAGCAACTAAGTATAGTAATTATTATTACCTTCAATGGATTCCTTATAATGATTTAACAAATATTGAAAAGATAGGTGAAGGTGGGTTTGCAACTATATCCATAGCTACTTGGTTAAATGGTAAAAAAGATACTAATAGAAATAAAAGAACTAGTGAAGATATGCCTGTGGCATTAAAAAAATTAAATAATTTACAGAATGTTTCTGATGAATTTCTTAACAAGGTAAATTATTTATTTTTCTATTTATTTCAGATTTTTTGATATTATTGAATTATAATTAAATATTTTATTTGTTATTTTAGCTCAAAAATTATACAAAGTTCCATGATAAAGTTTATATTTATGGATTAACACAAGATCCAATTACAAAAGAAAATATCTCTGTAATGCATTACATGGAAGATGGAAGTCCTCAAAATGATGAATATTCAAAGGAAAGATGGAAAAATTATGGGGAATGTCTAACCTGCAATAGATATAATACTAAATATTTCTGGTGTCAATCATGTGATCTAAAGCTATTGACTGAAGGATGGACTAGTGGCAATAAAACATTAGATAAGTTGATTAAAAGTACACAGCTTAAAGCAACTGATTATAATAATTATTGCTATCTTCAATGGATTCCTTATAATGATTTAACAAATATCAAAAAGATAGGTGAAGGTGGGTTTGCAACTATATCCAAAGCTACTTGGTTAAATGGTAATAAAAATGCTTATGAAAATAAAAGAATTAGTTATGATAGGACTGTGGCATTAAAAAAATTACATAATTCACAGAATATTTCTAATGAATTTCTTAATGAGGTAAATTATTTATTTTTCTATTTATTTTCTGATTTTTTAGATCTTATCAATTATTATTGTTTTGATTAAATAATTTATTTTTATTTTAGTTTCAAAATTATACAAAGTTTCATGGTGAAGCATATATAATTCATATTTATGGAATAACACAAGACCCAATTTCAAAAGAATACATATTTGTAATGGAATATATGGTAGATGGAAGTCTTCAAAATTATTTAACTAAAGATTTTAAAAATTTAAAATGGTATAGCAAAATTAAAATTCTTTATAATATTATTAGAGGTTTAAAAAATATTCATGAAAAAGAAATTATTCATCATGATCTCCATAGTGGTAATATTCTTCAAGAAGATAGAATTTCATGGATTGCAGACTTAGGATTATCATGCACATCTAGTCAAACATCATCATCAGACAAAAATGATATATGTGGAGTACTACCATATATTGCACCAGAAGTTTTAAAAAAG